AAAACAACCCAAGTTAATTACTGTGGTTGCATTTAACAACCACAAATAGGACAGAGAGTGCAGCAGGAGAAGGGAAAGCAGTAATGGAGGCAAAGCCCATTCTCTAAGCTATTGCCAGTTCAGGAGCATGGCACTCTGGGCAGGTATGGAGCTGCTAAGCCTTGCACTGCAAATTTAGTTCCCCAACTTGTTCTGATGTGGAAATTTCAGTAAAGGTGGGCTTTCTGGTGGGCAGGGTTACGTGTACGTAATGGTCTGCTTAGCCTAGGAAATCCATCATATGGAACCGATGACTGATAAAATAAGCATAGCATGCTGGGGAGAACAGCGATGTGTACTCCTGCGTTAACTGATTGGCTGAAATAACAGTTTTGTTTTCATGCCTACTCCACATTAGTGGCTAAAAAACCCCCCATCCCTCAACAGTAAAAACAAAATGTACATAAAGCAAGGATAATGGTTTACAAAATGTACTGTGGTCCTTCTGACAAATAGTTTAATTTCCAGCAAATGTACAAGATAGTCTGCCTTTAGGTGGCAGAGCTAGCTGGGGTCACTTAGTGGCTGTGTAAGCAAACTTACTGATTGTACCCAACTGCACTGAAGCAATTCATAAACAGGAAACACCAATACAGCAACCAGTAGCATTTTGTCCAGAGCAACAAAAAGATTGTTGGAGCAATCTGTGCTCCAAGCTGCTTACTGTAATAACTGTAAAACAGTACAAATCTGTTGATTTGATAACACAGTGTCAAATGGTAAATCTGGATCGGCATTGCATATATCAAAGATTAAGCATTTCTGAGTCAAAGCCTTCAAAACCCATTAAAAAAGAAATAGGCCTTAATTCTAATCTTAGTATAGTGGTGTTAGTGTGGAGTTACTTTGCTGATTTCACAGACATTACATCATCTTTATTAAATAGTAACCAAGATGGCTGATGTATGTCATCCTGATCTCTAACTCCAACAGCCGCAGCTGTCTTAGTTCATTTTTCTACCAAGTCAAGTCAGCTTTGTAATTGCTTAGGAAAGACTGGAGGTGCACAGAATTCCTCATGGCACTGTTTCCTTGCAAAGGAAACCTGTAAGCTGATTGCATGTTTGAAAAACGTATACTCATCTACTGACTAACTAAATGAGAAATGTTGAACAAAGGCTAGTAAACATGTCACAACAAAACAATTACACTTAAATATGAATTTTATTGTTAAGGGTATTTTGCTATAAATAATGAGAATGAGGACATAAAGTAAAAGTAGCATTTAAGAAGTTAGGATAGTACACAAGAACATGAAGTTTTGGGGGGGACACGCACGTTTGCTGCACGCTACCCTCCATGACTTACACATACCTATCTTAGTCATATCATGAGGAGGAAAAGCCACACACGGATTTGAGGAACATGGGTGTGAATTTTCTCCTTTACTCGTCTTGCTTAGCTGATTCCATCACCTATTGAATCTCTACTGAAGAACAAACAAAATAAAGCCAGTGTTGCGTGGTATTTAGGGTAGCTCCATCTAGATGCAGCTCAGAATGTGCTTCAGCACTAGAAAAGCTGAGTCTTTCTATCCCCTCTTCTGCAGTTCATAAGCCTTTACCCATTCACTAGAAGAGGCTGGCTCCCTACCTGCCATGTTTAAGCAAAAGAAGCCACTAGCTATGTTTTCACATGTAATGTAAGAATTTGGGAGGGGGCTCTGGTTCACCTCTTTAATGTGGTCGGACTTAGCAGAAGGCTGAGCATTTCTACCCCAGTCTCTGGAAGCCTAGCTTTGTCCAGCTGTCCATAACTGAGAGTCCAAAACTAGTCATAGGTGAGTATATAGACTCATGACCTCTGTAAGCACTGCCATTTAATTCTGAACAGACTCTTAACTGCTATACAACAGATTTAGTCATCCTTAACTGATGGCATACACTGCAAAAAACAGTGGCACTGTACTGGCTGTGGACCTCCCATAGCTTTAGGGAGGTCAGCTGTTGGGCCCCAGGTAGAAAAGCACGTGCTTGGGTGATATGCAGGTGTAACTGGAATCACAGCATCATGAGTAGCACCATTCAGAAACAAATACCTGTTTAGTATTATCATTGCAATCTGTTTTGAAAATTACCTTGCCACACCCACTGCCTCTTCCCACCACTATGGTCTCACCTAGCCTACTGGTATGGCAGTCACCCCAAGCTCCAAAATCCACTCCGGCCCTGCTCCTTCAGCTCACACCAACATCTACACAAACTGCAGATACAGGAAGTACTGGACTGGGCAGAAAAAGGCTATTGAGTCATGACTATGGATCCAGCTGGACATTATTATAGATATGACCAAATCTCCATTCTACCCCTGAGCAACAGGAGGTATGGCCATGTCTTCAGGAAGCAAGTCTGAGCTTTAGCAACCAGTGAATTCAAGTGGCTATCCCCATGCTGCTGCTTTGTGCACCAAGACTTCTATTTCTTCAGTGAGATCAGAAAGGCTACAAACACCTGCAGTAATATAACTACTCCCTTGATTTTATGCTCTAGCACAGTTTTGTACATTTGCTTTCTAACTTCTAAAACATCATTTCTTGCTTTGAATTCAACCCAGGAATGTTTTGCAATCAACAGTCTTTATCTTATATACTTAACTTGAAGAAACTGGGGACCTAGATCCAGATATCTCCTGAAAGCGCAAGGGGCATGTTCCCCTGCTGTGATCAACAGCTCTTGGGGAAAAAAAAAAAACAAAACCAAACCAAAAACCAAAACCAAACCCCACACAATAAAACTTTAACCTTAAAATTACTAGCTGATTCACTTTGTGCTATTCTTTCACAATCATTATGAAACTGAGAAGAAATTACAGTGATGATCAATTGTTTTATTTTTCCCCACACTTACAGGCTAAATACCGCACAGGGACAAGAGGAGATGGAGGTATTCTGCAGAACTAGTTATATTGCAAAGCATAAACTAAACAGCAGTGTAGACCTGTAATCAGCTTCAAGGTTATCTCAAGGCTTAAAAAGGGTAGAAATGTTTGTTCACTTCAGTTCCAGGCAGTCACCATATCTTTCTGACCTCAAGGGTACCAGGCCTCTAAGAGAACTTGAGTGGTGTACTCCAATTTCTTTTGGTTTGGACTAGCAATAGGAAGCTTCTGCTTTAGTCGTCTCTTGACCCTCCAGCAAGTCCTTTCAGTACATGCCACTGGCAGAGCACATGCAGCTTGTATTAATCTGTGAAAGGACATCCATGCACACTGGTACACAGTTCTGAGCCAAAGTTTCTTGAAAGAAGTTTACGTTCCCTGGATTAGGCCCACTCCTAGTAATGCAGCCAACATTACATTTGTCTGTTTCCTTCCAATGATTTCAGTTTGTTGAGTTGGTCCTAAGAGTGGTGAAAGCTTAGTGCTTCCCCTGGCTGCTACCCAAACTCTTGTCCAAGACCTCTATTGCTTAAATATGTAGGATAGAGCTAAGACAGCTTTAGGAGAAAATGGAAAAGGTTGGGGCTTGATCTAAACATGTATGGGTGCAAATTCTCATTTGTTTTCATCTTTCCTGACACACCTGAAACCCCATGAACCTTAAGGAAATTAACCTACTTCTGAATGAAAGCATAAGACTTAACATATTAAAACAGTATGAATACAGGAAGCCAGAACTGGAAGTATAAAAATAAGTCCTCTTACTATAAAGAACTCAACTTAGGCACCCTGTCTCTTTTACCTGAATAACAAAGCATGTGCATTTCTTCAGAGCTTTCTTTCCCCTGCCAAGCACAGCTCAGCATGGATTATAGCACGATAAGGTGACAGGCCACATAACACACATAACAGCTGCAGTCCAGGTTACAGTCCATAGTACAGCAGCCTACAGGAGCACATCATGTAAGGAACCAGACATATAAGCCAGCTGGGTTCCTTGGAGTGTTTTCCTTAAGTCATGGAGGGAAAAAGAGACCTGCTGAATGTGAGAGGGAAACGTGCATAGAACAAACCCAGGCTCAGCTGTGCTCAAAACTAGTTGCAAATAACAAACCTGGTTCAGGAAACCTTGGAGGCTAAGAGGCTGACATCCTATCCTAGCCGTGGCAAGGCAGCTGATATCAAAGTGCCTGTGTGCAAGGCCTACTTGTGCTGTTTGTCTCTTCCTCTCTTGACTATTACTGCCTGCAGAGGGGTTCTGGTAGGCCCAACAGGGCAAGGGTTGTTCACATTAGTTCTCCTCCTGCAGGCTGCAGAGCGATAGCAGTAACAAGCAGAGACACTAGACAATGGCCTCTTCCTCAGCAATGCAGTTGGTACAGTGTCTGAGGCAGCTGTTCTACAGACAAGGAAGACCACTTGTAAAGCTAAAGATCCATTACTTCCATCTGACAGAAGAGTGATTCATTATAAAGAGGGAGGTGGAACAACAAACATTGGGCTTCCTTGCCACTGGTCATTCACATTTCTGGGAGAATAAAAGAACTGAGGAGTGCTGTTGCTTCTTAGCAGTTTGCTTATACATTCTCAAAGACAACTGCACCTGGATGGTGTGAGATACAGGTATAGGACTCCATCTAAGAAAATATACTACTATCTGCAGGCAAGTCTGAAAACAAAAAAAATCCTCAAGCATGGCTGACTACCTAAAGCCAAGGAGTTTCTGCTGAGCTGTATGTTTGTCCAGGGGATTTTCAGAAGGCAGTAGTACATATATACTAATGTAGGGCTCCTATAAACCTCCTATTTGGACCATATTTTAGACCCCCAAAAAATCATTTTTTTCTACGGTGTTTACAATAACAGTCTGTTCACAAAGCTAGTGACTGCTACCATGTTACATTGGTGCTCATATTGATCCTTATCAGTACAAATCCTTGTAACTCCAAACATCAGAACAGAATTCAAGAGCAGCACATGCCATCTCCAACCATTTAACTCAATGGTGCCTTTAAACTCTCCTTAGGACAGTTAAGAATCAGTTATTAAGATGTCACTACTGAAAAATAACTATTGCATTTCTTAAAGTTTAACAGTAAACAACATTGCCAATATATTATTGCACACAATAAAGGTTTTTGGAACTACAAAGGTAGGAATGGGTAATCTAGAAGACCCAGAATAATGATCCCAGAGCCATTCCAGTCGCTGCTCCAGCAAGCATGCCCAGTGCAAGATCTCCATCGCTGTCACGGTAACGCTCTCGAATAATGACATGGTTTGCAGGGGGTTGGCCATAAGGTCCTAGGTAATAAGAGATTGTTAGGAGAAGGGCAAAAGAAAAGTGTATCTCAATACCATCCATTGCGATTTTAAAACGTATGCATTCTTTCACTTCCATTGAATGCTAAGATGATGTCAGCTACAAAGGCAGAATACATCTCTGCTTCGTATTCAGCCTCTACATTTATTAAATAAATCCAGAGGTCTAGCAAGCCTTCTAGCCTCGTAAGAGTTTAGTATCTGGGAGAAAAGCTCATCACAAAGGTAAAACTGAATATTGTTCTGCATTTATATTAACAAAGAACCTATGAATTATTTGTATCATTCTATCAAACACTTAATGGATTTAATGGAAGAAATGGGTCTAAAAATTGATTCAACCTTGAACTTAAGGCAAATAGTGTAGTACCTCCCCCCCAAAAAAAAAAAAAAAAAAAAAAAATCTTTGGCAGCTCTTAAGCCAGTGGTTTGTCAGGAACTGTGTATCAGTTACTTACTCTACAATTACTGCCTACTACTTCAATTCAGCCTTCACATCCCAGACTGATCAGTTGTGTGGTGACAGCTGCTACATTTCTTTGCAGCTGAAGACTAGCCCAGTAGTAAGGAATTAACCTAAGACTCAAGAAACTGCCAATTGACCCTTGCTCTGCAACAGACTTGTATAACCTCCAACTGTCATGTTTTGTGACTTAGCTCCTACCTGCAAAGCAAACATAATAGTATTGCTTTCCCCTCCAGACATTTCAAGTATTCTTGAAGATATTGCAGTGTTTTTTGTAGCAGATACTGAAGCAATACAACTAATACAACTAGAAAAGGCTCTCACTGACTCATTCAACAATGCATGACTGGGAACCTTATGAGAAGGATCATGTCAATTCAGAGAATGAGCAATGAAGCCAAACATACAGGGGTTAAGTTAGCTGGACTTAGGAGTGAACTGGACCCCTAAGATTTAGTTGCAGTAACCTTAGTGAAAGAAAACATCGATGCTTGGTTACTATGCCCAGCCTGTAACTAGTATGTTAACACACTGGATTTGCAACCTGTTTAGGAGAGTTGCTGTTTAATGCTGCATTTTTATCATACAGGTTTCTGAGGCTTGATTTCCAAGGCCTGCCGGTAGTTTTTAAAAATGGTTCTTGGGACTTCCAACAAGCTACTACTTTTCAGTTGCTGAGAACTAACAGAACCCACCTTCCTCTGCGTTTGTATATATATGACCTGTATCTTAGGACTTCACTAACTTAGCCGAGTAAAGCTTGAGGCTCGTGCACCTCCTTTGTAACAAAAAATGGAAAAGGCAGATGAAATAACCTGACAAACGTCAAATGGAAAAAAAAAAATCCCTCAGAACTAAAAAAAATTCTGAATAGAGATTCTTGTTTGCAGAGCCAGATCATAAACAGTATGTTAAATCTCCTGATTGGGCTGTAAAGACCAAGTTCTGTAGGACTGGGCCTCTCTATGCAAAGCTCATCCTAAATTAAGGTGTCTAAGCTTAAAAGCACACCCTTAAATTTTAGTCTCTTTCCTCTGTTATTGGGATGGATAGCTACACAAACCTGAACAGAGCAACAGAAGACTTCACAAGGCTGAATGTACTGCTTTACAGCAATTCCAGCATGCAGGTAAGGAACCAGTTACCACCATGCTTTGGGAGTCGATTTATCTTTAAAACTTGCATTTAATTCTGAGGTCATAGCTGAACATCAGTATTAAAATAATTAAGCTAGGTATAAGAGCAACCGATGGATCAAAAGCTCCATCAATGCCCAATGTGGAGTACTGAATCAATCTTGTTCTGGCTCTTCTATCTTTCCTCAGAAAACATGCTGCCTACTGTAGTTAGAGACTTCTGTGTGTTTCAAAAAGAGTTTATGAAGTAATTTAAATAAGTTGGGATCACACTAGGAAGGTAAAATTATTAGCACAAATTTCACTGCAGTCATTTTGTTGTGAAAGGGTAAGGGGACCTGGTTCCACTGACAAGTCAGGTTTCTTTCTGCCACTCTGTTGTGCAGAAGTGGTGGTTGGTAAAGGATGACGATTAATAGAATTAAAGCCAGAAAGACTGACTCAAATAGCTTCTACAGGAAGGTGAAGGACGTTGTTGATACTGATTACCTTGGTATGGATACTGATAGGGAACAGCATAAGCTTGTCCGTTGGAGGCATAGAAGACTTGAGGACCAGTAGGAGGATATGCACCATTGTACTGATCGTAGCCATAGCTGTACACCTGGTGAAATTAAAAATGTCCATTACAAAAGTATTCTTCGCTATATATTTGATTATGCACTTTGTTCAATTGTCCTTCACTTCTAATGTAAAGTTTCACTAAAATATCTAGTCTGTACTGATAGTCTATGTACTTCCTGGAAAGTATTTAGAACAGCTGCTTGAAAAAGTAAGTGCTCCTAAGCAGCATTCACTCTCCACTCTTCCTGGACAGTGAGTGGCAGAGGCAGAGCCTGGATCATAAGGCAGGGCCAAAGCAGCCTTTCCAGCTTCTCCTCTGCCCTTGTGCCAACAACAGCTCTCTGGAGAGCTCAGAAGTACCACGTAGGCAGCAGCTGATCCCAAGAAACTCCAACCAACTTTCCTCTAGCACACTGCAAGTAAATGTCAGATTCAGGACAAATACTCTGAAGCTGTATGTTTTGGAAGGAATTTTGTTCTCCAAAAGAGGCGGCCCACTGCCAGCCCTGATACTGCTCCCAGTACCACATCTAGTTCTTAACAACTATTTCTAACAGTGAGGGGCTGGAGCAGAGCACCTGTAGTGCAACAAGTAATACTACCCCAAAGCATCCCTTTGTGTATCACTGCACGTCAGTCAGAACATCCAGAAATCCCCAATGCATACTGGTTCAGCCCCAGTGCTGTTCCTTCTCCTCTGCAAAAGAACTGTGCATCCAGGAGCTAGTTACTGTGTTGCTATGATATCTTGGATACAACAAAATCCTTGTGTGTTAAAAGTAACAGCTCTAGTCCTTAAATCCTATTTTTAAAACTCGTGATTTTATACCCTTCCAATGCTTACACAATGTGAAAGTGTAGTCATACCTCCTTATGTTAAAAGCTGCATGGCCAATATTTTTCAAGATTAGCCAAATAACTTCTGCCCTGTCTCTAAGAAGCTTTATTTTCCAAGTTCATCCCTGAGCAGCCATCCCTTTATATACCTCCTAACCAAATCTGCCTCCTCCTTTTCAAAGGAAATCAAATAGGAGTGACGATAAATTATTAGTGCCTTACTCTGACTCTCCTTTTGTACAAACCTTGAAGCGGGCTTTAATTGTGAAACACAGCACTTTGGGAGTACAGTTTGAGTGCTTGAAGGATGGTTGCTTTTGCTACCTCACTTATTTTAATACTTCCCGACTGCAACTCTTACCTCAGGCGATGGTGTGGCATAAGCTGTATAGGGAGGAGGGGCTGAGGAAATGGCTGTCTCATCATACATCACATCAGATCCCACGTAGCCCTAAATACCATAGAAAGGTAGCAGTTATCGCCTTTTCTTACAGACAGCCAGTTAGAGTAGAGCAAGGATTAAAACTTACTGACCCCAAAGAGAGAGTAACCTTTAGATGTGCTGCATGTTAAGAAAGCAGTGAGTACCTTATAAAGTGCTGCAAAAAGAAACTACCTGGACCTGGGAGAATACAAATGCCTGATCAACCACAGGAAGGAGCCATAATGTTTCTTGCCTCTGTTTGTGCACGCACATGCATACGTGTACATGCGAGCACACTGACTCCTTCCATCATTTCATAGCTTCAGTTTTAGAAATTACCATCTTGTTCATCCTCTGTTTTCAGATGAAAAAAAGTCTTCACAACTAAGCTAGCTGCTTCCTGGCACCCTTGAGTGATATCACGAAGTTCTGCATGAGCAGACAAAGGAAACAAATGCAGTAGCCAAAAGTGGCACCTGAACATTTTACTAGAACACTGTCACAGTTCTTAGCCACCTCTCACTTTCTGTCTGTGAGGAGACTTAAAAAAAAAAAAAATACAGTAAGAGAGGTTTCAATGTAGGGATTTGGGGGGCTTGGCTGTTCTTAGGGAATTACTTTGCAAATGCCACCTATAATTCTGGTCCTTTTTGAAGGCAGCCATGAGGCAAAGGTGATAACTTACTTGAATCCATCTACAAGGACCCCTCAAACATAATTAAGATTTGTTACAGTAGCCTTGTATTCTTGACCCTAATATCAGAAATGTATAGTGATGCTCTTAATGCCCTATCCCAAGAAAATAAAACAGGTCCCTTTTATTAATGTAGAAATGAACACTAATAGCTCAATAGAGAACATTCTTATTGTCTCTTGTACCTGGACTGTAGAAAAACTTTTGAGGGCATACTATAGCTGTATCCCAAGTCAAACTTGTGGTGGAGATTCTAAGGGGCGCTTGAAAACACTGTTTAAAGCACTATATGAAGGGACAGGTATTTCCACCTGAGAAAAAGTCCAGCAAATGCTCCCATCTTAGCAGTAAATGTATTCTGTTCTGCTACAGGGAACTTTGTACAGGCATATGACAGAAGCCTGCAAACGTCTGTAAATGACACACTTCTCAGTCACCCTGCTATTCCAGTAAAGTTATGAGGCACTGCTGGATGCTTGGTATTTTTGAAAGCTGTGTCAGACACCTACAGATGGACTCTAACCCAGTTACCTGGTTAGTTCAAGTACTTGTTGGAGATCTTTAATACCTTTGGAAAGTGCTAATTTATGGTACTACTTGTACAGAGAGTTACCTGCCCTACTTTCAGTAGCAGGGGTCTGCCTTGGCTGACAAAGGTGATGCACTGGAAAGTTCTGAATGCCCTCTAGCAGGGCTGGCAGCTGAGTTTGAGACATGAAAAGCAGCAGCTCCTAATTCCTGAAACCAGGAGTCACCATCTCACACATAAGCAAGATAAAGCCCCTAAAACTAGAGCAGACAGACCATGAGTGTTGTGTCCTCTGCGTGAGGACAATTCCTTCACTTCTCATTTAATACCATGAAGCAGCATAGCATGGCTGCAATCAGAGGCAATCGTGACCAGGGTAGTTTTGCTATGACAAGTGTTTGCTTTGGATATCTACAGATATCAGTTATATCATATGATGAATGCCTAAGTACAGTGGCAATGTTAATGTGACCCATCAAAAACTGAGATAAGCTTCTACAAAACCCAGCATTTCCCCATGAAACAGAAACATCTCAGGTTGGTTCTGTCTAGCCATCTAAGGAAAGCTAGTGCTGGAGAGTACTCTGGAAGGCAGTCTGGAGGAAAAACAAATTAACAATACACACAAGTGGATGGATGTGGTTCCCCAAAAATACAGTTCTCTAGAGAACTCCAAGACTCACAGAGAGGCTTTTATGATTCCTGACCTTTTCACTCTCCACAGCTAGCATGCCGATGCAGAGGTAGTATACTCCTCAGCAGGCCTGCACTCCCCTTCAAGTACCTCTTGCTCTTCCCCTAGTTTCCACCAAGAAGCATCCCACAATGTAATGGATCTACATTACATTAACAAACACTTCTTTGCAGTAAGCTTCCTTTAGCACTGCACTTGGTAGGCAACAAACACCAGGAGTGGGAAGTGCATTTATAGTGGTTGCAGAAGATTTACTTTTTGCCCACAGCCTCAGTGCCCACTTCCCATACAGACCAGCTTCTCAAACGTTCACTTCCACCCAGAGAGATCATTCCCTGAAATCATCCACTTCCACCCAGCATATATTTGCCTGGACTCAGCTGTAAGGATAACATATGCTTGTGATCCAGAAGATCATTCTTCTGCCCACCCACAAGCTTTATCATCATGCTCATGACCCTGTTTTTCTCTAGCAGAGAAGGATGGAACATGATTTCAGAAGTAAATTGCAGGATGACACATAACACTGACGTGCTGCCTCTCTATCAGTATAAACTCTAGGTAGTACACTTACTGTGTTTGTTCTGGCGTCCTGGAGAGCAATTTTCCATGCCCTGCAAAAAAAACCCCTATTGTTTAGTGGAACACTGATAAAAATTAATGCCGCTTTACCTTTTTAGGACTATGAAAAAAACAGTTAGCAACTAGAGGTACTGCAGGAGCAGAGTTTAAGATACTGCATATGTCAAAGCCTAATGATACACTAAAATGAATACACAAAGGTGTTACACCAAGATTAAGAAATAATTACTTTCTCTGCAGAGCTGAGAAGGAATGAGGAGGAACACGAGGAGGAACAGATGCAGTTTTGAAGGCCCTTACTGCAAGCACAACAGTCAGGTAATATGCAGCCATGCTCAGGATAAGGTGATAGGAAGAGATGCACCAGAAAAGTTGTATCTCCTGCCTGAATAGTTGTATCTGTGCTGACTAGTGAGTGTGGGTCTTGATGGTATTACAGTTTGAACAGAAGGTACCTATACTTCACACAGATACTCCCCCGCCATCTGGCTGGGAGCATGCTCAATGCACCACACATACTTGGCAAACACTGACAATAGAAGTTCTCTAACTATACACAGCCAAGCTCAGTTGAGAGTTCACAATAATGGAGTATTCTTCCTTTCACTACTGATTGTGATGTCCTTGGACTGTGCAGGGTGATGTACTATCTGAAGAATGGGAGAAATGAAAAAAAAAAAAATCTGTTCAGCAAGTCTTGCGTTAACCGTATTAATAAGATTCTTTTACTCCTCCTCACCCTTCAGTGTTTTCAGTGACTTAACTTGCAGTTAGTTTGCATAAGGTACACAACTTCTTATAGGAAAGCTGTATTTTTGTCACTGTCACTTTTGTCACTACTTTTACTTTCTTGTAAACTTTCAATAAACATGTCTCTGAAAGTCCAAAGGAAGGAAAATAATTAGGGAGAGAGAAAAAAAGAAAGACAAAAGAGGAAAAGGCAGCAAAAAACAATATTCTCTGGCAGACTTACAGGCAGTCATCTGCACTCTCTGCACAGAGGTTGACTGTCTTCCCATCACGGCAAACAATCTGCAGTAAACAGTCTCTCTGCTTCCCCTCTGGAGGCTGGAAATCTGAGTCAGAAAAAAAGAGCTGAGTTACGAAATATCTATAACCAGAATCTCATGATCCCATTTACAAGAAGGGAGACAGTTTATGCAAAGTCTGGACAAAATAAAGTAAGGCCAGTTGTAGCTGCTTTCCCTGGCATCAGAACAAATTACAGAAGGAAATAAGCTGTTCTCGATCTTTAGAGTGTCCTGAAAGTAAGTAGCTCTGAACATCATTCCTAAGAAATGCAAGTTTCTTACAGCATACCCAATCCATACTTAACAATAAGTGCTCTCCAGTACTTGTGTTGGCATCGAGTACTAAGAAGTGCTAGAAGTGAACTTAGAAATACTTGAAAAAAATCTGCTGAGGTTTCCCATTTCTAGCCCTGCCGCCCCCTCCAGCCAGCACTGTAATTACACCAGTAACACTCTATAATCAGACACACAAGTCTGCTGTGAATATCCCATTTCACGTGCATGCCACCCACCTGCATGTATGGTACGCTGTCCTCACTGTGTTTTAAAAGGAAGTGTCAAACCCTAACCTAATCTATTACATGGTGATACCATGCCCTGGGTATCTATAAGGGAATTTAGTAGTTGGTTGGTTTTGTTTGTTGTGGTGGTTTGGTTTTTTTTTTGG